TTGGTGTGAGGACCCACCCCGTGTCTCGTGGCACATGCATTGGAGGTTGCACGACCCTCACTTTGCTTATAAGAATTGGTCAAAATAGGTACGGCGCTAACAATGCCCTTGTTGTCCAATGGTACAGGACCGGACTTGCGGCGTCCTCCTTCCCAAGTCCTACCCGGATGAGTAGAACTCTCCAATGGAATGCCGATAGAATGACAGGTTGGTGGTTCAAGTCTTTGTTTTTTTTTTTTGCTTTTTTGTAGTGTAAAAAATATCATTTGTACCAGTTGAAAAGTTATATAAAAAATCATGAACAATGAGGATGATAAAATAATTATGAAAACTTATGGTGGTAAAATTATATTTTCAAAAAAATTATATTAGTTGCTGATTTTTTTAAAAAAATTTAAATGATCGATAGTTTTTTTTTTTTACCGTAATGATTGATAGTTAATTAGTAGAATATATGAGTAGTTGCATGAGACATGTGATAGAATATAATTAGTTAAATTCATGTGTGGTAATTAAATAATTAAAAATTCTAAACAAAATAAATGTAAGAGAAAATACTTCTTAAGTACCCTCCCACCTAATTTGATTGAGCATACATCGACTGTTTGCTTGAACAATAATAAATTAATTAAAAAACACGATGATTGAAGAAAGTGAGAGGAAAATAAGTAAATTAAGTTTCAACAATAGTGTAATTATTTTTCAAGATAACTGGTTATTGCATGTGCTTAAAGTCACAGAATAATAAAAAATGGTAAACAATAAACATATTTGTATTCATATCTAAAATTAAATCACAAATATAAGCATCAGTTGTAGTGGACGGTAGTGGCAATGGTAGAAAACGGTGATGATTGTGATAGGTGGCAATGATCGTGGTGGTGGTGGTGATAGCGGCGACGACGGTAACGACGGTTGCGGCGGCGGTGACAGTGGTAGCGGTGGTGGCGACGGTGTCGGCGGTGGCAGTGGTGATGGTGGTGGCAGAGGTGGTGGTGGTGGCAACGACAGTGGTGAGGCGGTTTCAAATATTATTTTTTTTTAAAGTATTTATGAAAAATAATTCTTAAACGTACTTTTAAAAAGTCACTTCAAACATACCTTTAAGACTCTATTTTTCCTATTAAATTTAGGGTGTTAATTTAACTATTAGATTAACTTTACAGAGTGATCTGAACTGCAAAAAAAAAAAATTATTTTATTTATCTTTTACAATTTGAATTGTAAGTTACTTTATTATATAGATAAGATATATAGATATATTTTCTAGGTAAATAATGTATCATTTATTGTTCATGTACTTATTATAAAAATGAATCTCACTTGGATTTACAATTTATTAAAAAAATAAACTAAAAAATATGTAATGAAGTGAATCTCATTTTAAAACTGTGATTGTACCTTATCACAATTGCTTGTTAATTGTAGATCTCAATTTTTACTTATTAATAAATTAAAATATTAAAAGTTATACATATTTTATTTTTATTAGTAAAAAATATAATATATTAAACAAAAATAATTTTTGATATTATAATTAGACCCCTGAGAGTAACGCCGAGGGTAGGGTGGAGAAATTTGCGTCAATATTGTTGCACTGGAGAGCCCTCCAAGGAAACCGGTCTATAAACGGCAGAAACATATGGATGGGTCATGGGGCTATATGAACTTCTAGACTTCATACTGATATATAGACATCATTGGAGACTTGGATGTCAATGAATCCTTGGATCTATATATGCCATTCTTTCCTAGTTGTATTACATAGTTGACTAAAATTATTTTTGACTAACTTTCAATGTTATATAGACTTAATTTAGAGATTAAGTTTAATATAATTATTGAATTAATTATAAATTTTAATGTTAAATAAAATCCATTTTCATTTCAATGATTTTATTACATTTTTGTCTTTAAATTAGATTCAAATAATATTTTTTACAACATAAACTTTAGAAGCATCCACTTATTTACAAATCGCACATATCGGCTAAATCAAGAATCTTTTATGAAAATCAAGGTTTAAATTTCAAGTTAATAATCCCTAAAGTATTTCTATTTGAAATGTGTTGACAGGTTTTAGTAGAGGTTTTACTTAGACGGATTAATGCAAACCCAACAAGGAATATGCAAAGACTTTGATAAAGATTACCAGTGTTGGAACTAAACTTATAAATACACAATCAAATCTAATTTAAATTTGAGTAATGCTTGATTGGAATCTAATGTTTTTGCGATCCAACCAAACTGAAATCTTGCTTGAGCTTCTAAATTGAAACTTGAATTGTATAGTTTGAGAATCAAACCTTATTTAAACCTAAAATTGAATCCAAGTAGAATTCGATTGGATTTTGGGTTTTGGGTTTTGTAACCCAAGTTCAATACGCATTAAACACTTTGAGTCTACTTTTTACTCGGGTTGAAAGGTCTAGAATTAATTCGGGTACAAATCGAACTGAAATTTAGGATTTTATTTGGATCACATCGACAAGACAAAACATTAATTCATCAATGACTCACAATGTGGTCATAATCTAATACATTAATACCCAACCTTTTGCATAAACAAACTTTAAGTGATACGTAATCTCTTTAACATATGCTAAAAATAGTCTCTCAAGTACGATATTTTTGTGATCAAGAAAAAAAAATTATGATATTTTTATTCAAAGTTTAGAAAACACAATCATCTTAGTTGGACTACACAATCACGTGGTCGAGGCTTCTTTTGTATGTAGTCATGTTCCTGTTTAGTTCTATGCCTTGGGCTTCATGCCATGAAACAAGAAATCTAGGCCATGTTTGACTTTGATTTAAAGCCGTTTGGTGGGATGATTCTTCCGTGCGGTTCTCTCGGGGCACTTGACATGTTTAGGAGGGCATCAGCTCATTGGTTTACATCTTTTTTTTTTCCCCCATTTCCACTTGAGTAATCGTAAGATCTCAAATTCACAAAGATAGCAACACTCTTTACGTTTGCTTTGATTTTATATTAGAATAACTGTTATTGTAAAGGTAACGAGCTTAAGACCTGATAGATATTACGCATACAAAATGAAAATTGGATGTGTTAATATATCAAAAATTATAATTTTTTAAAATTAAGTTATAATTTTAAAGGACATGATCGATAATAGAAGGTTAAAATCGATATTGAGATTTTTCATGATCAATTATGATCGTCTTTTAAATAGTTGTAAGTTCTGTTGTAATTTTATCCATAAAAAATTATAACCGACAATACAATACCAATTTTTTTTGGGTACCGTAAAATTTCCCACAAACAATAAAAAGCTACTCTTCAATTAGACCAGGCTTTAATGGGATCCACTCCTATTTGAAAGGCACTTTTTATTTACAAGAGGTTCTTATCAAATATTTATTGTGCAAGATAGGGGGGTTGGTGTATAAGCAGGTGGATGGCGGCAAAAGTAAATGAAAGAAAAGCATTGGTGTGGTCAAAGAATGACACTTTTGTGTGAAAACAGTCTTCCCTGTCTAAACTACAAACCACCCAACAACTGCCACACATGAACTACTTTAGAGATGAGACTACCAAACTGGTGTACTATATGAGAAAACTCAACTTTGTTTGGAATAATGCCAACTCAAAATAATTCGTAAATCACGTGTATTCCGTCCGGGCCGGAGTCGGAAATTTTGCAACTTTATGTCCCATGTGAGAGAATGTTTCTATAATTTGAAATATTGACGCCTAGATAATAATAGAGAAATCTTAAAATATGTACAAAAAAGGTGTTTGTACAAAAAGATGGAGTGACAAACACATGTGTAGCTCCGCCTCTCCGTACATCATGTAATTCAGGAATTACTTACGAAACTTAAACTCAAGAATCTCGAAATAGTGACTCGTCAACCTTCCGGCAGATTGTTTACCTCTGTCTACTATAAATATGTTGACCACATGAGGAGAGATAAAGGAACACGTAATTAATTTCCATTACTCAGGAGGTTTTAATTTGTATTCTCTAAAATCTGTATTTTACTCACTTATTTCTCAAACTATCGTTATTTCTACGAGGGTGTGATTTGTATCCACATTTTTCAGAATGAAAAGATTATTTAACTTTCAATAGAAAATGTTGAAAGTTATATTACAAACACATATTATATTAAAAAAACGTGTCTTTAAACTATGCTTTCAACAAGAAACAAAAAAAAAAAAACTATGCTATCAACAACAAATTAAAAAATAAGTGAGCAATCATGATAGGGAAGTAATTTGATTGAAAAATCATGATAATTTGAAAGGAAATAAAAAAAAAAAAAAAACCATTTTATTTGTGTTTATTCTGTTGGCCTTATTGTTTGGAAACTGTATTCTGTCATCAGTAAGAAGAGAAGTGGGCTGTCTCTGAGAGTGAGAGAGAGAGAGAGAGAGAGAAACTTTTCTCTTTCGTGTTGGAGAAAGGCTGGAGAGTGAGAGGACATGGACACAACGCGAAGGTGGCCGTAGCAGCCGGTCCAATTTTTTTTGTTGGGCTAATATTTGACCCAGAGGCCTAGTCCATCACAAATATTTTTAAATCTGCAGTTATAAGCAAGGGAAGCGTAGCTAATATTAAAACTCATAATCGAGCCGAGTCTATCAAACTCGTTTTTCTAAAAAAATCTAAAAAATTATTCAAACTCTGCTAATTTATAAAATGAACCAAATCCAAATGACTCAACTATTTTACATATAAACGAATCAAACTTTATGAGCTTGAGCTGAGTTTTTTATGTTCATTTTGAATCACTCTAAAAAATTGTTCAACCTCTACTCGTTTAGAATATGAGCCGAGCCCAAATAACTCGACTCAATTATCAGCATTACCTAATATGCCTTCCTCAAATAAATAAACGTCACAGGGTCCATATAATGCCGTAATATGAATTCAGTATATAGTAATCTATTTCTGTAAAAGGCAATTAAAAACAACATTCACCCATTTGGTCTCCGAGGCCTATGTGATGCAGAAAAGAAGCCCACAATTTACAAAAAAAAAAAAAAAGGAAAAAAGGAAGAGAGAACCATATTAAGGGCACTCAAAGCTGTATTGCAGCAAACTATTAATACAGTTCACACAGTGCAGTAACAGCAAGACATTTTATAGAAATAATGCCTAAGACAGTAAGTTTATGGCCTAATTCATAAATAATGTCATAACGTGTCTGCGCAATCTAATGCAGGAAGCAACTGGTCTGCATATGCAGCCAGATTTTTGAGATTGGTAATTGAAATAATGTCAAACTGGTCAAATTTTCTTCTTCTTCCCTTGGTTTTTACCCAGTTTCGATGATCGTTGCTTCCACAAATGCAGGTAAATTTTCAGCCATAGCAATGGATAGCAGAGAAGCAAAACCTGACTCAGAAAAATTGAACATAAAATACATTATAACATTATATTGACATGTAAATACATTGTTACAGAAAAATGAGCATCATTGGTAATAGACGAAACCCAATGTAACTAGTTGTACAATACAAATGATCATTATGCTATGAAGAGTGCAACAGTCTTTTGAATGGAGGCATAGCATAAGGTTGAATATCACCAATCTAGACAAGTAAATGCATCTGTATATTTTGACAAAAACTATTTAGATGGCCATAAAAATTGGAAGATTTATGATAGAGTTGAAGATTAATCAATTTGAGCCACTCTGAACTGATTTGCTAGTCTCCATCCAAAAAAATCATAAACGGAAAAATGGGTGTCCTAGTGTGTTTATGAGCTTTGCAGATTTGTGAAATCGATTCAAATCCCAGAGTTGCCTCAGTGCATCCTACATGAAAGAATAGCGATGGAGCAGGTTCAAGACAAGGTGATCTTATCCCAAATCCCAAAAGATCTATGGGAATTCAACCCCAGCTGCTCATAGAAACCAAGTTTAGTCTGAACTGTCCCAACACGGGCCAGCACGCAGGTTGCCTGAGTAACCCATGGAATTGGAACAGCTTATGTGCACACATAAACATGTGCAATCTGACTCAATTTTACAATTGCAAATACAAACTTGGTCAAATCAACTCAAACTTGTCCTGACAAAAAGCATCATGGATTTCCACTTGACACATTAAGTGCCATTCTTAGAGCATCTCCAAGAGATGCTGTAAAGCACAAAAATAGCTAAAATTTAGCTAACCAAAGCAAAAAATCATACCCCAACAGATGCTCTTCAGATACTCTAAAATAGATTTTTGCTACAGTAATACTCTAAATATAGAGTATCACTGTAGCAACTTGTAAACATATTTTATATTATTATTACTCTCTCTTCCTCTCCTTTCTTCCGTTCTCTCTCTTTCTCTCTTTCATTATTCCCAAAAAAAATAAAATATAAAAAATGGGAAATAATATTTAAAAGGAGTAGTTAAAAATATAGAGAATATGTTGGAGTGTGTATTGAAAAAGTGAGTAGTTAAAATAAAAAAAGTTGCTTTTTGGGTAGCTAAAATACAATTTGTTGTTGGAGATGCTCTTACATGATGTCAAAGGTTGGAATTAACGTACCAGGATTCATACACAGGCTTATAACTTTTGTGAACTCCACTAATCATAACAATAACAAATTTTCCAAAACATGCAGAAGAGATTATGAGTGTACCTGGACAAAGTTATAATAGCTGAAAGGAAGACCAACAAAGGCATCTGCATACAGGCTTTTCTTCCTTATAAATGGAAGTGCTTGGTACATAAGCCATACTACATCAAAAGGAGCAATTAACAAAACTTCAAATTAAACAGACCTATAAAAGAGTTTACAAGTACAAAAATGGAAGGACAGGAAAATAGCTGATCCTATAATGCTAGTTTATAGCGGCAACATGGCTTACTTTCACCAGGACCAACTCCAATTGGAAACAACACAATAAAAGCAGTGTACCTATTCAAACAAAAAATATTGGGCAAAATCAAATATTTAGATATTATAATTTTGGTCACTGTGTGTGCGGCAATTGCATGTGAATGCAGGTGTGCAAGTGATGTATGAGGTTGTCTCTGCAAGGAATGGAACCTGAAGTAGTTGAGCAAGGACGGAGAACTGCCCATGCAACTCAAAGCATAATGTGGATACCTGATAACCTGTATGCAGGGATCAGATCATAATTCATTCATTGCAGATAATTCCTGAAGTAATATGTGGGAGACATTGGTCTTGACTCTTGAAACAAAAATGAATAGAATGGAAACATAGAAACCACTCCAGAACAAGTGGGGATTGGATAGAACAAAATCCATATCTCAGTCTGCCAAAAAGATGACAGGAGAAGGCAATAATAAAGCAAGTACCCCTATACGCTTGACTAATCGGGAAAAAATACAGTCATACAACATCCTATAATATCGGAAAGGAAAAGTTCTATTGTTCTACACCTTCCCCTATTGAAAAGAGATTTAAAATAATGAAGCATTGAACATTGGGAATCATAGATCAACATGGGTAAATAAGGACTTAAATCAGTAAAAATCAGAAGGACTTACATCGGCTTGTCTGAAAAATTAAAACAGGAGTTTTCAGCCCCTAAATAAGGAAAGTGGGGAGAATTTCAATGCAACCTTAAAGAAACCATTTCTGAACATCATTAAATTGTACACACAAGTCTTTCTAGAACCATAGGCTTCAGAGTGGCTTACTCTTGCATAAAAACTAATAGTAGTGATATATCAGTAAGCATTAACTTCAATCCAACAATTACAATCGAGTCATCTAATCATGAGCTTGCATTACAGAAATATGACCTAATGCTTCACCAAACAGCTAATACTTGTTGACATTACATCTGAATATTCATGGAAATCTCTTTTAATTTCAATGGCTGCCTATAGCATCCACTCAAGGAAAAGTTATATATAAGCACGTCAACAACAAGTAATAAAGTTGAAACTACTAGCCCTTAGGTTCACACTTTGTACCGGAAAAATAACTTCCTAATTTGAATAAAGTATAACAATGCTTTTTATCTGCTTAAATAAATGAAAAAATAAAGAAAGAGGGCTGACCAACCTCTGATAAGCTCCAAGCAACAAAAGTTATGAACACTGATGGTAACTCCTGGATCTATACAGAGACACAGTAAAATAATGTTTAGTTTCAACACAATTGGAAATTTAGAATTCCACTGCTACAAATAAGAAGGCTTAAATTCAAATTTATAGTCTCTATATTTCAATTTGTACATGATCAAGCTATCCCACAGACCACCACACATAACGCATACTCTTTCCTTCATTCTCTCTATTGGGCAATGGTAAAAAAATAAAAATGAATCATCTAATTTTCAATTCCGTATGAATGAGTGGAAGAATTGAGAACCTCATGGATGCGACGAACAATTGCCAACAGAAAATGGGTCCTTCCACCCCATTGCATCAGAGGAAGCAACACCCCACTTGGAACAATACCTGAAAATGCAAAGGGAAAACATGAAAACGAAATTACCCAAATTTACAAAATCTTTTGCAATCTTAGGGCTCACAAGACAAAACCCTTTGAAGTAACCACCTATGGCTCCATGTATAACTTCCAAGAATGCAACAGTTTGCAACAAACCTTAACACCAATCAAAAATACCAATTAGTTTTTTGTGGAACTATACACATTGGAAATTAGTTTTTCTTTTTTGTAAAATAACTTACAGATTAATTCTCCAGCAGAAGCGTAGGCGCCATTGACTGATTTGGTGGAGACAAAGTTGATCAAAAGTTTAGAGAGAGAAATTGCCCTGCATATATATGGGCAAACACATAAGGCACTGTTTTGGAGAGAGAGAAAGAGAGAGAGAGCTTACCATCCGAAGGCCTGAAGGGAATTGTAAACGAAAAGATAGAGGTTCAACTGCTGAGGCATTTGAGTGTGTGTGTGGTGGCGTCAGTTAACTGTTGATAAGCTTGTTATGAGTCGACTTATGTCAAGTATAGGCATGTTTGTGTATGGGTCGGGTTCTGATTGTAAGATGGTTCCGGATCAAGATTCGTTGACTCGGATAGTTTGATAGAAAGAGTTGGTCGCCATTCACTGTCATTCCTGGTTGCCGAATTTGTTAAGACTTGGGTATTCGGTTCAATTATCCGATCCAATATATCTTGATTTGTTCTGTACAGGAGAGGTGGGGAAGAACGTACTATGGAAAGTATGACCTCAATCTCACTTTGCTTCCTTAAATATTTAGGCTATGTTTGGCTAGTTTTTCAGAAATTATTTTTTATTTTCAAAATTTTAAAAACACCCAAAATCTGTTTGTTTAACTTTTTTGTTCTCAAAATTTTGAGAAAAAATGAGATTTAAGTTAAAAAAAACAGAAAACAAGTTTAGTTTGTTTTCAGAGTATTTTTTGAAAAATTTGAAAATAAGGAGAACAATTTTGGAGTTTAATGAGGTCTGTCTTTCGAGTCTCCTTAACAACAAATTTCTTCATTCTTTTTTCTTTTTTTTTTTACTTCTTCTCCTCTCTCATAATATATAATATATTATATAATATACACATATATTATAATATAATAAATATAATATAATATGATATATAAAATTTTATATTATATATTATATATTATATATATTATATTATAATCTATTATATTATATGTTATATATTAATATTATAATCTATTATATTATATATTAATATATTATATTATATATTATAATATAATATAATATATATATATATATAAATACAAATATATAAATATATATTATAATATATTATATATTAATATTATATTATTATGTATATATATTATATACATATATATAAGTATATATATATATTATGAAATTGTCAATATAAAAATAAATTTTTTATATTTTTTATTAATGTTTGAATTATTGTTCAAATATATATTTAAGCTGTCCAAACAGGTTTTACAATTTTCTGTATTGTAAAATTGTTTTTGAAATCATCTAACCAAACAAGTTTTTTATCTCAAAAAATATCAAAACTACTTTCTTAAAACTCTTCTAAAAAACTCAAATACTATTTTTGAAACACAAACCAAACAAGTCATTAGTTTCTCGTATTATTCCATCAACCCTTAACACTTTAAATTTGGATAATGCTAGTACAATTTTTTTTTATAAGGTATTTAGACTTGTGTTGACTACTCTATTTAATTTAGGGATTAGCCATCATAATTTGAGTTGGGATAGAGCCTGACCGTAGAGGAACAAAAGTGACTAGACCTTAGAGGGTACAAGAAAGAATTAAACTTGAGATCTTTGAATTCTTAAAGATCAGACTCAACCATTGAACCACGCCTAAGGGTTATTTATTACCCATCTTCAATTTTAGGTACTAGGGGCATTTCTATGTAACACACTTTTACTGTTAAGTTGTAATATACAATGTTATCAGAATCGGACCGGTCATCGAATCGGCAAGGGACCGGTCAATGGTTCAATGGTTCAATTGTTGGATCAACTAGTCGGACCGGTCATATAAAAAAAAATAAAAAATATAGATCTAATAATTATAAAAATTAATAATTTAGCTAAAAAATATAAAATATGTATAAAATACATAAAATTTGCCATAAAATTAATGAAATTAAGTAAAAAAGTGAGAGTTTTTATTGTTTTAAAGCAAAGTAAAGAGGTTCAAGTAAATTATAAAGAAAAAGAAGGGGTGTCATTTATAATTTTTCCAAGAATAAGGTTAAAAAAAATCAATATTCACTGATTTAAGGCAAAAAAATTTATTTATGTAATTTAATTTTTAAAAATCGATTTTTTGTTAAAAATCGGCTGATTTTTCGGTTTTTAGCCGGTTCGTTTCCTTAAACGGTTCAACTAAGGAACCGGATGGGTTAGGGTCCCGGTTCACGTTGAACCGGTCCGACCGACTGGTCCGGTCCGATTTTGATAACAGTGGTAATATAAGGATATATTTGTTAACTTAAATTCGACATTTAAAATGAATATATTCAACACTTATTAATTAAGCCTATTTGATATCTAAAATTTAAACTCTCTTAATATGTTAAGTGCTTCTTAAATATAGGCTGCAATATTAAGTAGGAGATCCCTTATTTAATTCTGAAAGTTGAAAACGCTCAGCAAAATCATCTTTAATAATATTTATAATATGACAATTATACCCCGAAATATTTTACAATTCTTATTAAAATTCTAATTAGTCTTCTCTTCAAAACCCTTAACCTATATATTCTCTTTGTTGATCTTTTTTTTTTTTCTCTTGTTTTGTTTTCTGTAACAAAAATATACATACATAATTATAATTACACGTACAAACGCGCGCACTGCACACACAATTATACATAGACATATGCATTGCACACACACATACTTACATGCACACACATATTGTTAATGAAATCTAATTTATTGTATTTTTTCAATATTATTTGATTATTTATTTAGTTATTATTTTTTTATCAGATGTTATTGTTCACTTATTATGTTATTCAATTTGTTATTGTTACTTATTCTGTTATTTAGATGTTATTTATTTATTTATTTTGATAAAAATTTGGTAAATGTAGATTACAATATAATAATAATAATTATGATTTATGTTATGACATATATTATAAATATTTTCAAATTAAAGAGCGGAAAAATAAAATTGAAAAATAATTTATTTTTGGATATCAGCTTTGTGTAGTTATCAAATAGTTTGATTCAATTTAGTACTTAAATTTCAGTGAATATCAAACAGTCCACAAAATTCAACATTCAACTTTCAGCTTTCAGACTTTAGTTTTCAGTTTTATCAAACACCACCTAAGATAATGTTTGATAAAACCGAAATATAAAATTTTGAAAACTAAAAGTTGAATGTTGAATTTGTAAATTATTTAGTATCCACTAAAATTTAAGTATTTAATTGAACTAAATTTTTTGATAACTATATAGAGTTGATGTCTCTGAAAAAAAATTAATTTTCACTTTTATCCTTTCACTTTTTAATTTGAAAATATTTATAATATATGTCATAACCTAAATCATAATCACTATTATCATATTGTAGTTTACATTTAACAAACATTTGATCAAAAAATAATAAATAAATAACATTTAAAAACACAATAAATAAACAATAGCATCTCATAAAAAAAAAGAGACAATACTAATAAAATAATTTAATAGTAATAAGTGAACAATAACATTTG